TAAGCACAGAGCCATAGTATCTGAGTCAGGGGCCAGCTAGGTGGTGCAGTGGATAGATGGTTAGGCCTAGAGTCAGGAAGATCTGGATTCAATTTTGGCCTCAGACACTTATCAGCTGTGTGACCCCTGGGCAAGTCACTTAATCTTATTTGCCTCAGTTTCCTTATCTGTAAAATGAGCTGGAGAAGGAAATGGCAAACCACTCCATTTTCTTTGCCAAGAACACCCCAAATTGGCTCACAAAGAGTTGGACATTATCGACCGATAACAGCAAATTAGTTCATCTAGACCAGTGGTTCTAAAATTTTTTGAACTTATGACCTCTTTACACTCTTAAAAACTATTGAGAACCCTGAAGATATTTTGTTTATGTGTATCTATGTGTGCAATTTTACCACATTAGAAACTGAAACATCTTAGCATTATTATGAAAATAATTGACTTCATGGACCTCCTGAAAGGATCAGGCATCCTTGGACCATACTTTGATAACTACTAACCTATAACAAACCCTTCTTTGGCAGATGAGGAAACTTGGGCCCAGAGAAATAGAGCTTCCTAAGTTCACACTTTAAAAGCCAGACTTAGGATTTGAATCCAGCTCTTTGACTTCAGATCCAGCACTTTTCCCCACTATACCACACTGCATCCTGGGGAAAGGGAGGAGGAAAGGAAGTGAGGATGAGAAGGAGATATTTACTGCAGTGCTATAAATTCTTTGATAGGCTTCCTGACGTTTAAAATGGTTTTCTGCAATTAGAAGATTTCTGTTATTCAGACTTTGAAAAATAACATATTATTGAATAATTGGATATGATCTTGGTGTAAATATTTCTTCCTGACTACCTTTATGGAAAATTAATTTTAGCTGAGATTTCCAGAAGCACTGAGCTCTTGCTATATTAAATTATTATTTGGCATTTGGTCAATATGGGGCAATAAAAGTGTTTCCAAAACAAATTCAATTATATGGGTGAAAGGACATAACTTTTTTGCCTTCCTGTGATGAGATTTGATTAGTTCATTTCTCAAGGGAAACTCAGGAAGCAAGTGTGGGGAGATATAATCATGTGGTGTTAGTTTAGTATTCTTTCATAACAAATTCTATTCATTCAGCAAACATTGATTGAGCTCCTCTTGTATAGAAGGCACTCTTCTAGGCACTGAGGGGAATACAAAGCAAAGGAGAAGATCAAGAGAGGAGGCTTAGTCAAGGCAGTGTCATGTCAGGTAGCAAAAAAGAGGAAGAACCCAAGTCAATGCAATGACAATGATAGCTTCTATGAAAGTTCTATGAACTTTAAGCTTCATACCTTATGCTATTGTTATTCTTTCCCTTAATTCTTCAATAAAGTTTCTTAACCCTGATTTTGTCCCAGTTGAACTAATGGTCAGTCAGTCAACAAGTATTTATTAAGCACCTACTATATTCCTAGCACTAAGACAAGGTCAGCGGATAGGGGCCCTAGGCAGGATACTAGAAATAGTGAGAGAAGAAAGGAGAAATCTTTGTCATTCAAAGACTTCTACAATCTTTAATTACCTTCCTCTTCTGCTTTATCTCACACTATTCCACTAGGTGGTACTTTGGATAGAGTGCTAGGTGGGCAGTCAGGAAAACCTGAGTTCAAATCCAACTTTAGACACTTACTGGCCATGTAAGCTGGGGAAGTCACTTAACCTCCATTTTCTCAACTGTAAAATGAGGATAATAATTGCACCTACCTCTCAGGATTGTTGTGAGGATAAATGATATGACAATTATAATACACTTAGCATAACTGCCTGATATGTATATAGTAGGTGCTTAATAAATGCTCATTCTGTGTATGCTGTGCTCCAGGCAAAGTGAATTATTCATTGACCCTCATACATTCCCATATCGCTTCACATCTATATCATTGTTCGCAATGTTCTCTAAGCCTGGAATGCCATCTCTGTTTTCCATCTGCATGGCAAATAATCATGGTTTACTTTTTATTAACAGTAGAAAAAAACACACTAAAAATACTTCATCGAAAAGCATAGTAGATTACCTGCAGACAAATATAAAATAATTTTGCTAATGCTGTAGCATATGAAATAGCTACCCCAGTCTAATTCACAGAGAAAAATGTTGATAATTTTAAATTTACAGTTTGAGAGAGCTATTTATTTAAAGTAAGGCTCCTATTGTGATTGTGTTTAAAACTTCTGAATATTATGACCATTCCTCCCCTTTTATATAATAACTCACTTAATAGCACTTTACAAAGCACTTTTCTTATAAATAATATAAAATAGGCAGTATGAGTTTTATTCTCCCAATTTTATGGATGAGGACACTGTGGCTCAAAGAAGTTGACTTGACATGATCACACAGCTAGTTTCAAAGCAAGATTTTGAACTGAGACCTCCTGATTGTGAGACCTTTCTACTATGCCATATTGTCTCTTTTTCTACTGCTAAATGCTGTTTACATTGAAATAATTTTAAAAAAATGTTAGCAGTAGTTGCTGCTTGTACCTAATAAAACATAAAATTTAGATTTTCACTTTTTTTCAGTAACTAAAATTGTTGGAGTTTTGTGTCCCTATAATGAAGATTCTGTGTCAGGGAAGGGAGTTTTCCAAGCAGGAGTTACCTACATCGATCTAATCACAAGTTTTGAAACCTGTTCCCCATACCCCCAAATGAAGATTCTCTTATAACTTCTGAATGTATAAAAGCAACTATAGCTTCACGTGTGTTCTAAAATGATGGCAAGTTGGATGGCTGTATCATATGGCTTTTAAAATGTGACAAGAACAGGTGTTAAAAATCAGCATTTTTATAGATGATGAAATTACAGGCTAAAAGCCAGGCACTGTGGCTAAGGGCAGGGGATTCAAATACAAAAAAGAAAGGCAGTCCCTGCCCTCAAGGAGCTTACGATCTAATGGGGGGAAGAAAAGAAAGGGGGAGGGAGGGGAGCTCGCAATGTTGTTATTGTTCAATGTATCTGACTCTTTGTGACCCATTTGGCTTGTGGGGTTTTTTGTTTGTTTGTTTGGCAAAGATACTGGAGTAGTTTGCTATTTCCTTCTCCTGCTCATTTTACAGATAAGGAAAGTGACAGGGTTAAGTGACTTGCCCAGGTGCTTGAGGCCAGATTTGAACTCTGGAAGATGAACTTCTGACTCTAGGACAGACACTCTATCCACTGTGCCACCAAGTTGCTGTTAAGGAATGCAGCTGGGTGGAAAATGAGATGCCTGGGCTGGGCACCCTCCTTAAATGGAGGTTCTGGGAAGAGCTCTCCACTCCGCCTTCCAATCAGGAGGGTCCCAGGGGCAGAAGGTACTTTTGGGGTGTAAGTACCAAGGCTGATGTGATCTTGCTGGATGTTGAGCCAGCTTCCTGGGGCCATAATGGTGAGGTCAAAAGGACCAAAGTCAAACGAATGAGTTAGTGGTACAACCGAATTCTAGGTTCCTGTCTTGATTTGTAGCTAAAAGTTCTTTCTTCCCCCAAATTCTGTTTTCTGCTTCCACATCAAGTGTGCTATTAGCATTTGAGGCAAAACCCATAACTGAAGAACATTTAATTGCACTGACTGTTTTACTCTGGTAGTAAATACCTCTATGACTCTCATTGATTAGGGAGCTAACAGAAATAAGAGTCAAGTGAAGGAGGCAAGCCATGGGTATTTCAAACGGTTATACTACATAACAATGCTAGGCAGCGTCCAAGTGTTATGAAAGAGACAATGAGTGTGCTAGGAAGGAGTTCATAGAAGAGGTATAATGTTTCACAAGGTCAATGATGACTGCCTGTGGTCAATACCATCTACTTCATTTGAGGGAGGGATTGGAGTAAATTCTCTCTCTCTCTCTCTCTCTCTCTCTCTCTCTCTCTCTCTCTCTCTCTCTTTTTCTGTCTCCCACCCTCCATCCCTTTCTCTTTCTCTCTCCCTTTCTCTGTCTTTCTCCTTCTCTCTTCTTCTCTCCCCACCTCTCCCATCCCTCCCTTCCCCCTCTCCTTCCCTTCCCTGTCTCTCTCTCTCTCTCTCTCTCTCTCTCTCTCTCTCTCTCTCTCTCTCTCTCTGTCTCCCACCCTCCATCCCTTTCTCTTTCTCTCTCCCTTTCTCTCTATTTCTCCTTCTCTCTTCTTCTCTCCCCACCTCTCCCATCCCTCCCTTCCCCCTCTCCTTCCCTTCCCTGTCTTTCTCTGTCTTCTCTCTCTCTCTCTCTCCCTCTCTCTCTCTCTCTCTCTCTCTCTCTCTCTCTCTCTCTCTTTCTCTCCTCCCCCTCTTTTCTCATCACCGCTACCCATCTCTCTTTGTTGCAGCTTGTGTGTTGGGAGGATGCCACTGCAGCCATTGCTGCCACATCCAAACCTAGAGGGGAAAAAGAACCCATCTTCCTTAGACCCTGGTCTTCCTTAGCTTAGTGCTCACAACAAACAGTCTCCTTCCCTTCCAGGCAGGACTTTTCAGTCTCAACTAGAGTGGAGGAAAAAATAATCTGTCCCTTTAAGACTCTATTCATGGAACATAACAAAGGAGGCTGAGCTGACCTGGCAGATTCTTCCAATTTCTCCTTGGCAAGGGACAAGGACACCGTTCCATCTCCTGTCCACATGCCTTTGTACAAACTGTCTTTCATGCCTGGGATGCACTCACTTCTACAACTCTTCCTCTTAGAATTGCTACCTCCCTTCAAAACTCTACTCAACTGCCATCTCCTATATGAGACTGATCCACTCTGCCCCTCAACTGCCAGTGCCTCCCCAAAATACTTTATGACTTATTGTATGGGTATGTGCTATCCCCCCCAAAAGAGTATAAGCCCCCGAAGGCAGGGACTGTTTCGTTTCTGTTTCCGTGTCTGTAGGGCCTAGCCTAACACCTGACAGCAGCAGGTACTTAGTTAATACTTGTGGGTTGATTGATCAGTCTTCTAAAAATCCTTTGATCCCATCCTCCTCATGTAGGCTCCTTTGTGCATGAGCTTGAGACCACTTCACCTTTTCTCTTACAGGTATCTTCATGACACTGTCCCTTCTGTCCATCGTGTACGGGGCCTTGCGTTGCAACATCCTGGCCATCAAGATCAAGTATGACGAGTATGAGGTCAACGTGAGGCCTGCAGCCTATCTCTGCATCTTCCTCTGGCGGAGCTTTGAGATCGCCACACGGGTCGTGGTCTTGGTCCTTTTCAGCTCCGTCCTCCAGATCTGGGTCCTCCCGGTGGTGCTCCTCAATTTCTTTGGCTTTTTTTTTTACCCTTGGATTCTCTTCTGGAGGAGCGGCTCCCCCTTTCCAGAGAATATCAAGGCCATGAGCAGAATGGGCACCACCATAGTGCTGTGCTTCCTTACCTTCCTGTATGCAGGCATCAACATGTTCTGTTGGTCGGCCGTACAGCTGAAGATCAGCAGTCCCGACTTGATTAATAAGTCTCAGAACTGGTACAGGTTGACGGTCTATTACATGCTGAGATTCATTGAGAATGCCTTCCTCCTCCTCATGTGGTACGTCTATAAGACAGACATTTACATGTATGTGTGTGCCCCCTTGCTCATCCTGAAGCTGCTGATTGCATATTGCACAGCCATCCTCTTCATGCTACTGTTTTACCAGTTTTTCCACCCTTGCAAAAAGCTCTTCTCATTTAGTCTTACTCAAGGCCTATTGTCATGCTTCAGGTATCTTTGCTTTCCATGTAAAAGGCAGAGACGCAGTGACCCAGCAGAAAGGGTAGACTTGAAATCATCGGATGACTCTGAAAGCCCCAGCCAGCAGCAAAAAAGTGATCCACAGAACAGAAACCCAAACCTGAATGTCCCTTCCAGTTCTTAATGGGACCAGTAGTTTGATGGTGTTTCTCCCAATAGCCATTGCTTATGTCTACAAGTCCTCTGGTCTTGTTTTCTGGGTCTGGTTGATGCTTGTTCAGACCACCTGCAACAACACCACACATGTCTTTGAATGGACAGAAAGTTATCCCTACAAATGCATGCCCTTCTCCCTGCAAGCTAGCTTGCTCTATGTGCCATTAGAGTATGGAATATGTGTGTGAAAGTGTATGTTTGTGCAGAGACTGGCAAGGAGAGCAGCAGGTTATCAGTCCAGTGTGGTCCCATGCATGACACCCTGTTCGACAAAGGTTGTGCGTGTGAATATGAATAATTGTGTTCTCCCAGTTGGCATTGTCCTCTTTAGTTTAAAAACTACAACAGCAACTACAAACGAGACAAGATGCTTTTGTCACATTGCAGGTCAGAACTTCGTGGAATTTTGTCTCAGCTTTTGGAAGTAGGGAAACCTGAAATTGGGTTGGTTAGGTAGAATGAGGAAAAGGTCCCTTTTTTTCTTGGGTTTCCTGAGTATCCTGTTCAGACACCCAGATTGTTCACCAGTCCTAAGGATGGTCCTCGTGTAAGAGTTGGCTCAGTGATTGGGAGTTACTGCTTTGCTCATACCATGAGACCATGCCTTCACTCTCTGCATTTCTTAAGAGGGGAGCTATTAAAGTCCAACCCTGAACACTGGCTTTTCTGCTTGTGCTTAGCCTAAAAGGCTTCTGCTTAAATGCAGAAAGAATCTGGTCTTTTCTCCAGACTGGCTGGTGGAACGAATTGCCTGTGCATGCTGAAAACAGACAGAAGGTAAAGCCTATGAGCTTGATTTTCAAATCCTTGAATGTGCTGTTTTCACACTTTGATGATCTCTCAACTTTCCCAACTCAACCCCTCAGATCATATGTATTTAAGTATTTGGATCTGGAGACTTTAGGTTCCAGGTGCCCCTAAGAACAAACGTGCATTTAATTCTAGAAGCTCTGGAATTTTGGAAAGCATTAATAGGCATTTGATATATGGGAGAATTAAAATGACTAACTGAGGGAGTTATGGAGTCTTCTTCTCTGAGAGCCTCTACAAACAGGATACCATTCTTTTTGGGATGATTAGATTTGGGTCACCTTGAAGGCGGTCTTCTATCCTTTCAAAGTCCTCTCTCGCCTCAGGATTCTGTGAAGTCACAGAAAACCCTGAGATTTATTCAAAAAAATTTAGAAAATATCATTTCTCCCAAAAAACTCAGCCAAGACCAATATAAATTTTATAAGAAAATTATTTGGAAATTCCAGGCCAGTGTTATCCAGGTAAGATATTTTGGTTTTCGTTACTTAAAGAAAAAACTCATTTTTCAGAAAAACAGACTAATCACGATGTGAATCTTAGTGCTACCACCCTTCTCCACTGCCCCAAAGAAATGAAGTAACCAAGAATCCAATGACTATTTAGAATCCCTCTCTTTTTTTTTTATGCATTCTGAGTGTGTAGTGATGATGACAAACTGAAGAAGGTTTCTGATTCAACCATTCCTCCCTTATTCACCTCTTCAGTTTGGTACTCTGTGTGTGGGTATGTGTAGATGTGTGTTGACATGAGGCTGGTAACATTTATTCGATTGTCTAGGGAAAACTATGATCCAATACCTTTATTTTTAACATGAAAAAAATTTCCCCCGTAACACCTGGAACCAGGTTGAAACAAAGACACCATCTAACATCATTAAAAATGAAACAATGGGATTTTGGAATATAAGATAAGTTTAGACCAAGAACATTAAACGAACCATATCGTGTCAGGGATTTAATCTTTTTGCTAGGCTATCCTGTCTAGTAAGATGTATTTGTTAAAGTTCTCATTTTTATTTGTAATTCACATTGGTTTCAATTTCATATAGAAAACATAAAATGTACATACACACAGACATACAACTTGATGTGCTCTTTTTGTTATATCCAGGGAAAATGAGACAATATAATGTTTTTCACCCCTAAAGGGCATTCTCATGTGATGTACTATTTTTAGTTAAAAATTGTTTGCATGTAAAGTCAGCAAATGCTCTTTTTCATTCAAGTAAGAGCAAAATATCTTGTGTTATGCACCATCTTGCTGCCTCTTAGCCCACATCAACCATCCTTGCTACTGTTTTTTAGGCCTAGAGCAAATCATTATGTGTGTGTATGTGTGTTTGTGTGTGTGTGTGTGTGTGTGTGTGTGTACCTGCATACATGTGTACATGCTGATACATCCTTGTGTATATACATACAGAAGTACATACTGTGCATCTAGACAGATAAGTATATTTAAATGTACATAGACATTAAGTATATTTAAATGTACATAGACATTAAGTATATTTAAATGTACATAGACATGTACATATGACCATATAAAATATTTTTTCAAAAATAAAAGATTAGAAATAAAATAAGACTAAGATTTAAAACCACTCCTTTTCTGTAGTTACTTAGTAGAGAAAAAGTTTCTATTAGGATTGTGTCTCTATGCATGGCAGCAAAATCATTCCTGGCTCCCAGTTTTGCCCCTGTTATGCATCTTTAAGCAGTTTGGTCACCTCTCTGTCCCTCCATCCTCTCATCTAACAAATGTAGTAATAGCTGACCTGCCTACCACACAGGGGTGCTGTCAGCATCAAAGTAGATAATGATCATCACAGTGTTTGCAGAAAGTACTATGCAACTATAAAGTGGCATTAGTTTCTCTCACCAAGCTCATAAGGGAAATCTGTTGCAATAAGAAAGGCTGTTTCGAACTGGTACCAGTTTTCCAGCTTACATCCAGCTTCTGAATGAATCCTTGGTTGTTTGACCTTGTGGAAACAGGTTTCATTGAATAACATCTACTTTGGAAAGGGGAGGTGGGGAGGTACAAAACACCTGGTCCAGCTGATGCTACTGTTCTTACTGCCTGTGTTCATAAAAACTTACATTTGTGGATATGGGACTGGGTGGGGAATAAAAATAACCACAAACTACTCCCCCCCTTCTTTCAGAGGGTCCTAAATATGTATCTGCTACTGGGAAATCTGTCTTTTTTTGCCTCATGCTTCCACAAAATGCACAGGAGGCTCTTTCAGTAGTCACATTGACAACTTGGAGGTCTGATACTACCAGGTTTGAATTTAACATGTTTGGAAAACATCTTTTTGTCTTAAAGCCAATTCTCAAACATAGGACATTTCCTTGGAAATCACCTTTATCGTCAAAAAGTTGTCATGGCTCTGTATATGTATATATGAGTATTATACTTCTTGTGAACAGATTATGAGTTTTATATTCTGAATCATGCCCATCCCAATAACTGTACTAAATATATCATGGACATGTGATTTTATTGGCTGCCTCTCTGCAGTCATTGCCTCTAATAAATAGTGTTTATGCTTCTTTTGATGGTACATCATTCTCTGTGTGTATTCCTGTTCATTGCTTTTAGGATCCAAAGACCACTCTTCAAATAGGAGTTTTTAAAAAGTTATGCCACTGGGATTGATGATGGATTTAGAACCTCAGTTGGAGAATACCAGATATTACCAGTAACAGAGAGTTGGGTGGGATTATGTTTAGTCACTAAGCCACGAATGCCTACAACCTCTCTTTTATCCAGTGAGTTATTTCATTGTGTGTATTGTTGTTCAATTGTTTTTCAGTTTTGTCCAACTCTTTGAACCCATTTGGGGTTTTCTTGAAAGAGATACTGGGGTAGTTTGTCATTTCCTTTTCCAGCTTATTTTACAATTGAAGAAACTGAGGCAAACAGGATTAAGTAACTTGCCCAAGATAGTAAGTATTTGAGGCCAGATTTGCACTCAGGAAGTTGAGTCTTCCTGACTTCATGCCCAGCACACTATCCACTTTGCAACTTAATTATCCCCTCCCCACACTGCATGCACATGTATAATCAAATACTATCACCGTGGCTCAGTAAGTAGCAGATTGGGGCCGATAGACTGGACAGTCTTTCTAGAGAAAGGCAGACAAGTACAGGATAGGTCTTACCAGGAAATCCAAGGAAGAGCTAAGTATAAGGAGCAGGACAGCAGGCAATAGACAGCAGTCCAAGCAGGGTTGAGCACATTGTTAGGGAAATCTCATCAGCAGCTAGTGGAAACCCAATCATGGAGACTTAGATTCAGATCTAGGACTCTAGTATCTGGGAGGACTTGAATACTGGACAGTGATAAATTGCAAGATAGTTGATGCGATATGGTTATTAAGACAAATGAAATAATCAGATACAAATGACTCAATATTTCAGTTCAGATGTTGACTGTCAAAATGAATGAGGAAAACCATGAACTAGTCATCCATCTGGACCATTTTGGTAAAGGAAATGTGGCGTGTATTGGTGATGCTTCCTCTTCTAAAGGTCACACTGTATTTTTTTAAAGAGTTTATTGAATTCTGGATTTGATGTCAGAAGACCTGGATATAAATCTAAGCTCAACCACTTACTGTGTGTGATCTTGTACAAATTACTTAACTTTTTTGGGTCTTGGTTTCCTGATTTGTAAAATAGACTGTTAGAATAGTTTGCCCTTTATATAGCACTTTCAGATTTGAAAAAACTTTATAAATAGTACTTCATTTTAATTTCACTGCAACCCTAGGAGACATTATTATTTCCATTATATAGATGAGGAAACTAAGAGGTTCAGCTTAAGGGACTTGTCCATGGTCCCAGATCAAGTGAGTATATGAGACTGGATTTGAACTCAGGTCTCCTGGGTTCCAGAACCAGTGCTCTATCTCCTGTGACGCTAAATTACCTTATAACTACATGACTACCATTGTCCTTTATGGTTCTAAAAAATCTGATGTTTTTGTTTTTATTTTACATGACAGATATTTTCCAACATAATTCCCCATTGAACCTTGCTGAGTATCAAAGAAAAAGTTAAGCAACTTGACCCATAAAACCAATGCATCTGATAATGTCTACAGTATTCCATCCTCCTGGGTTCTTGCCTCTCTACTGAGAGGAGTAAAGTATTTCATTGTCTGTTCTCCAAAACCAGAATCTCCAGAAGATTTTTCATTACAAATAATAACATTTCAATGTAATTTCATTACAAGTAAAGTCTCTGCCTTTGTGTGTTCTTTTCATTTATGCATGTTATTGTCACCTTTGCAAATATAGTTCTCCTGATTCTGCTTTCTTCATTTTGTGTTCGTACAAGGACACATACAAGACCCCTCTCTTAAACATTCATGCTGTTCATCCCATGTTTCTCTGAATTCCTCATTTCTTATAGTACATTAATATGGCAAAATTTTTTCATTTGTTCAGCCCCTCTCCAATCAGTAAGCTCCCATTTTGCTTCCAGTTTTTTGCCACCACAAGAAAAGGTGTCATACCACAATGGGCAGTGACCTTGAGTTTGAAAAGTCAGCATTAGAAAGTCTCTTAGAATGAGCTCACTTGATGTTAAATCGTCCCCTTGAGAGAACTGGTTGTCAACAACTGCAGTGTGCGAAGAGGCCCTTCTGGGACTACTTCATTTGACAGTCTGGATCTATCCGGCTCTTGGCTACTGGCTCAGACAGAGTACCAGGGATTTTGTCTTTTGATGGAGATAGGAGTTGACAGAATAACCTTGACTTTGTACAAACTCAAGAAAAACTGCTACAAATTCTGAACAAAAATTATTTGAGGAACACACACATGTGCAACATTTGCTGATAAGATTGATTCTAGTTTCCTATCTTCCTAGAATAAAATCTTGTTTTATAAATGTTAAGAATTTATAGTTAAATTTGTATTTGCTTAAATGAGCATATTATAGCTCTTTCCCCTCCCTAGTGGAATCAAAACTCCTTAAGGACAAGAACTATTTTGTTTTTGTTAACTCCAGCTCCCAGGATAGTCCTTTATTTTGTGATTTTTTAGTCTGGACTGTGATTTTGTCAGGCTGTGAACTCCCTACCCCGATGCAGACCAGCAACTCCTCTATAACTTGGAGTCATAGAAAGCTCTCTGGGGCACTAAAAAATAACTTGCACATGGCAGCTACTATTTATCAGGAGTAAAACTTGTAACCCAGTCTTCCTGACTTCCTGATTTCTCAGGTTTTTTTTAGCTGCTACACCATGTTCTCTCTCTCTCTCTCTCTCTCTCTCTCTCTCTCTCTCTCTCTCTCTCTCTCTCTCTCTCTCTCTGTCTCTGTCTCTGCTTCTCTCTGCCTCTCATTGATATAGTGAACTCCCTGTTAGGAAACTCCCTCTACCAATGAAGAGTGGCAACGTATCTGCAAGTTGTTGTCTTACTGAGTAGTCCTCGGCATTGAGTTAGGTGTTGCCTGGCATCACAGCCATTGTGTGTCAGAGGCAGGACTCAGACCCAGGTCTTGTGACTCTATTCACTATACCTAACTTCCTTTCTCTTTATACACAGTAGGTGCTTAATAAAAGTTTGTTGAATTAAAAGTCCATGTAACCTAGGGACTCATAAAATGAAGGGCATGGATTTACTTTTGGCAGTTTCTCATTTCTCCAGCTTCTACCACTTGACCTCAGCTTACCTGGTGACAATGATTCACTTTGGAAGCAAAGCAGTTCGCAAAAATAAAAAAGGTAAGTTTTATGAAAACCTGGAAGAAAAACAAAAAGAAACCCCAAACAGAACCCTTAGCAAATGTTTGCTTTATCCTAATGGAAATCCCCTCCATGGATGCATGGATTCTCAGTTACTTATACTCCTGATAGACAAGTCCCTCTGCCTGCTGTCCCCAGCAGGTGGAGCTGGCCAGCTCTCTAGAAGTTCCTCTGTCTCGCTTTCTGGCATGGCTCAGCCTGAATTTCTTGATGTCTCCTCTTCCAGCTAGCTCCACGTAGCTCCCAGAAATCATGCCACACATCACTGTCAGGCAAATCCCAAACCCTCTGGGTGGGAACATCTTTATTAATGGATTGAATCATTGTTGGGGGCAGTCTTTGTCATCACAAAGAAAAGAGATCGCCAACCACAAGAGCCTCTGCCGTTGATTCCAGATTCAAATATGGGAACTACAGAATTTGATGTGCTTTCCCATCTGATAACTAGGAAATCTGTCAGAGGGAAACTAACATTTGGCTCCTCAGTTCGGCTTTTAAAGCCGTTAATAACCTGGCCCTTTTCTGTCTTTCTAGTCTTCTTAGACTTCATTTCAATTTACATATTTTCCAAACCAGTGACAACAAGTCTCCTTGCGGACTATGCTTTTCCCATAATACATTGCACTTCCCAGTTCCAAGCATTTTCACTGACTGTTCCTCATGCCTGGAACTCTCTCTCTCCTCATCCTGGTCTCCTGTCTTCCCCGGTTTTCTTCAAGTCTCAGCTAAAATCCCACCTTCTTCATGAAGCCTTTCCTTGTCTTCTCAATCATAGTTCTTCCTTCTGAGACTTTCTCCAAGATGTATAAACATATATACACATATATGCACATATATATGTATATGCACACATATAAGTATATATACATAAACACGCACTCATATGTATACACACATATAGGTGCTAGGTGGCACAATGAATAGAGCTCCAAGTCTGGAGTCAGAAAGATTTATCTTTCTTTGTTCAAATCCAGCCTCAGATACTAGCTGTGTGACCCTGGGCAAGTCACTTTACACTGTTTGCCTCATCTATAAAAGGAGCTGGAGAAGGAAATGGCAAAACATTCCAGTCTCTTTGCCAAGAAAACCCCAAATGGGGTGACAGAGTCAGACATGACTGAACTAGAGAAAAGGAGAGCAACGCATAAAGAGAAAAGGGATGAAGGTTAGAGAGGGAAGGTACATGGCAGGAACATGACGAAGTCCTATATCCAGGTATGAAATGATGAAGTGTTTGCCACGGACCCCCTTTTTAAAGAGAGAATTAGGGAGGAGCTCTCTGATGTCCATTCTCCATCCTCTCCAAATCAGAGAAAGTGATAGGTCCACCATTCAGGAGGTACTGAAGAGGTGTGATTTTCAGAGCTGATTTGTTGTTCGTCCTTCATTTGGAAGAGGACCAATGACATCATGAACGATGTCTTGACTGGAGCATGAATTAGGTCTAAGTGAAACAGCCTCACTCTCCCTTCCAGAGTTGTTGAAGTCCAGTGGCAAGATAAAAGTCAAGATTATTGGCCATTCAGAGCTGATATCAGTTTGAAGAAGGATGAGTTTCTAGAGACTGACAAAATCCAAGCTAGCAGCTGGATGGGAAATACAGGCACTGTATTGTCAGGTTGTACATATTTGAGGAAAGGAGTTGTCAGACTTTTCCATATCCATCCACTAACACTGGGTAAGAGCCACCTTCTCAGCCTGTGAGTTGGCTGGCCTGTAATTTAAGAATGTCAAGTCGAATGTCAGCATTTATTAAGTGACTTCTCTGTGCCAGACACTATGCTAAGTGCTG